AAATATCATTCATCATATGTTGAAAGACCGCTCGAGCATTGATAAGACCAAAGGGCATGACATTATACTCAAAATGGCCATACCTTGTACGGAACGCTGTCTTCCACTCATCTCCTTCCTTGATTCGTACGAGGTTGTAAGCTCCCTTTAGATCAATTTTTGTAAAAATCCTTGCACGTCCAAGTTGTTCTAAGAGACCAGAAATCAAGGGTAACAGGTAACGATTCTTTTTTGTTATCTTGTTGAGGCCTCGATAGTCCACGCACATCCGTAATGAGCCATCTTTCTTCTTCACAAATAAGATGGGTGTTCCAGCTGACGATTTTGAATGACGGATGAAGTTCTTGGCTAGATTCTCGTTGATGTACTTCCGCAACTCCACCAACTCCGTCTACGATAGATTGTAGATTGGGCCAAAAGGCAGTTGTGCTCCTTCCTGTAAGTCTATGGCGCAATCATATGGTCTGTGTTCCGGTAGCATGTCCGCATTTTTTTTTGAAACACATCTTTAAAATCCTTATATTGCTCCGGTATACTTGTTGTCGAGATCTTCTCTCCGATAGTTGGAGCCGCATAAATGACAAACGGTGTGCCTTCCTTGCACGATCTTATAAATGCTCTTGCTCCAATAAATAAGGATTTCTTTATTTGGGGTTTTCTACTAGGCTTGCTCTTGGGTGGTTTTGTTGGAAATGTCATCTTTCGCAACTTCCAATGTATGGATGGATTATGCTTTTCCAACCAGGAAAGATGAAGAATAACAGAATTTGATAGGATTCTAATAATATTGAAAATAATATGACTACTATGGTCTTTAAATGTCACTTCTATAGGTTCTGATTCATGGATGACACTACCACACAATAAAAGTCGCCCATCTATGACCTCAACGTGAACAGGTTTGGATTTTTGTACTAAAGGTATCTTATGATGCTTTGCAAATTCTTCGTCTAAGAAACAAGCAGATGCTCTTGAATCTAATAATGCTAAGATTCTTAGTTTCTAAGGGCCAATAAGCAAAGGGATTGTAAAACAAAGGGCAGATTGAGCGGAAAGAAAGGAACCTGGTTGTTGTTACGATATTTCACTGTCTAGTCACACGGTTCCTATTGTGGCTGGGCATCCTCGTTTTCCTGAACAAACGTGCCTCTAGTCTTAACAATACGTCGATTTTGCTTTTTGGGACAGTTTCCAACTTTGTGGCCTTCTTCACCGTAATACAAGCATAGACCTTCTTCCATACGCCGCTTTTTTTCTTCTAGAGTAAGGGATTTGACACGTACCGCATCAATTTGCATGTCTTCTACCTCTGAATGTGAATTCACGCTGCTTATCGATATAGTTGGGGCATGGCGAACCGTATGTTGTCTTGAACGTTGGTCTTGGCGGCGTTGGAATAGGCGATTATCGTACTTTACAGCTTGGCTAATAGCTTCGTTGAGCGTTTGCGGATCAGGAAGAGTTAACAACAAATCCTTCATATCATCCCTTAAACCGCAGTAGAATTGACTTATCAAAGCTTCTTCGTCCAAATTGATGCCGCATGCTAATTGCCTGAAGTCCGATGCATAGACTGATGTAGAGCGCATCCCTTGTCGTAGTGACCGGATCTTTGTTGTAGCCCATCGAACCTTTTCGTGTTCACCAAATGCTTCCGCAAACGCCTCCAAAAAGGTTTCAAAGTTGTTTAGTATGGACGATCGTTTCTCAAACAAAGGAGCAAACCATGATAGAGCTTGCCCTGTAAGTAAGGTTCCAATAAGCTCAACACGTGACTCCTCCGTTGGATAACGTTCGGGCTGTAAAATTGTTATCAAACTGATTTGGTTAACGAATCTTCAAAACTTGGAATGCGTACCATCGAACTTGTCCGAAAGACTAACTTGGGGCTCCTTATGTTGTAGAACCAACGGTGCTTGTCGAACCTGAGACAAAGTTCCTTCTCCAAGTACAGAAGTTTGAGGCTGGTGCAACCTAGATTGTGCCATCCCAGATGCTCCATCATTATGAAGCCTTGTCACGACTCCTTCAATCTGTGTAGTTCTTTGCGATAACGTAGCGAGGGCATTCATGATAGCATTCAACTTGGACTCCGAACTTTCCGTCATACTAATGTCTTGGCCCACCGCCATTCTAAGACAAGGACAGAAATGACTCTACAAGAAGACAATATTGGTTTAGAGGAGGGTACTCTGCAACCTCTAAAATGCCTTAAGAGCTTCAAGAAAAGGGGTAATCCACTCTCTCCAAGAAGAATAAGACTCCAATATTGTAACAAAAGAAGTATCAGTTTAGAGGAGGGTAATCCGCAACCTCTAAAATGCTAGTACACTTCCAAGTAGAGGGGTAATCCACACTCTAACAAAGAAGAAACTAGCTATGATATCTGAGGTGAGTGCAGTCTCAACAAACTATCACGGATACAAAAATATAGACTCAAGATCTAACAAGAAGTTTAGGAAGAACTGGCAAGAATTAGATTAATCAGATGAGAACCTCACCAGAGAGGTGAGCTAGAGCTCCAAGAGATGTGTTGTCAAGACTGAAGAACTCTTCAGCCTCGATTCCAATATATACTTCTATTTAGGAAGCTTCTCAAGCAACTTCTACCAACTAAGAAGCTTCTAAAAGGTTCCAGAGACTTGCTTCTTGAAGGTTCTAGAAACTTATCTTTAGAAGATTCTAAGGACTATGTCTCTAATATCTTCTACCAACTAAGAAGCTTCTAGAAGGTTCCAGAGACTTGCTTCTAGAAGGTTCTAGAAACTTGTCTCTAGAAGGTTCTAAGGATTATGTCACTAACAATATATTTATTGATAACCATAGGATTTTTTTTGATAATACCATCAACATTTGGAGTCAATGTAATAATAATGCATTCCTTCTCTTTCTTCTTTCCAAACAACTTTGTAGCAAGTGTAAGATTTTATTCAATTCTATGAAAAAATTCCATCTTATACATATTGAATATGTTAGAAAGAACATATTAAAATACAATTTTAAAAATTTCTTCTATCTTTTTTAAGTCATCACAAAAGTATTAGAAGATGCATCATTTCTATGATAAGTATATTCTTTGATATAAAATCTTTTTTTGAATCACAATATTTAGGAATGTTCTATCACAACATCATAACATTGCTAAATCCTCAAATGATAGAACATTAAAATAAAAAGAAGGTGATACAAGAGAGTCCAAAGTTTAAATTCCAAATATGTTGATGGAATTTGTAGCTAATAATGTTTAGATGATGTGGAATAAGTAATGCATGATGTGGAATGGGTGATGTGGAAGATACTTTGAACTATATATAATATTACAAATGCCAACCATAATATTATCTATACATGATGGACTTAATTTAATTTCATTCAAGCTATAAAATTTCATAGCCTCACTTTCATCCAAATTAATACTTATTGAGGTGAATTCATTGAAGAGGGGAGCATAATTTTTATAAATTTTCTAAACAACTAACAATTAACACCTAGTAGTGTATTTTCTTGGATTTTTTTTGGGAAGCCCAATTTTCCTTAACACATATGCGATTTAAACACTCATCTGAGTAACACATATCGAGGGTGGACTGTAGCGAAGTTGCTGCTCCAGCAATCCAACGTGGAGCTCCAGCAAGCAAACCTATGGCTGCAGCTGCCAATGCTTGCGGTTCGCATCATGTCAATGTTGTCTTGACGATTTCTGAGAAGAAGAGTTTTTCAGAGGAGGAGTTGGAATTTGTGCTTGGTTGGCTGCAAGGGAAAAATTCCCTTATTGATTCTGGTCTGGATCAGGGTTTGTCCCACAATGGTCGACGTCTCGGCTGGGAACTGCAATGCCTTTCATAGTACTATAGGCATTTCAAGCTGGTGGTTCCTCGCTACGGCGGTAGTAATCATCGTCTCTCGTGTCACAGCCTGGTTACTTCGCTTGTTGGCCTTGCAGCTGAGGGAGACAAAATCTTCTCCCTCGGCGTACCAAAGCATTACCAAAAGCTTAGTTTTACTCGATTAGATTGGATTGTCTGTTGGGATTATGTATTGCTGGGTTCGTTAGTTTTGTAGATTCGTTTCGACCTCTTCCGTCGCCCGAGAGTCACTGCCCTTCAGTCGCCTGTATGTGCGTTTTGCAACGAGTAGGTTTTCTATGTGTTTTCTTTGGATTTCGTTCAACATGCCATGGAATTCTTGTTTTACTTGAGGTCCCTGCTGTTCTGTTTTTGCAAAAGCTTTTGTCCAGTTCAATCATTAATCCTACAACCTAAATTTATGCACTATGTGCTACATGTATAAATGTATGAATACTTAACTCAAAGAATGTGCTCTATGTCAGGCCTTCTCACAGAAACTCATTGCAATTTTGTACGTAGGACTAAGCGTGTGTTCGCATTGTCCCAGAGCTCCTCGGCTTCTTACAAAGTACTTCAGTTACGTTCGTTAGTCCCCTAGCTTTTTCATGCTCCCATTTATGACGCCTTGGTTGGCATCGTTTCTATAGACAGCTAGGTCCCTTCCTTTTTGTGTGAATAACGTCGAAGTGAAGTTGAGATATTTTACGAAACCTTGTCTCTTGGCAAGGGTCAATCCTGAGTAGTACTCAATTACCACTCACTTTTGATGCGCAAGACATCTTCGAACGGAAGTATGGTATGATTCTTACAGAGCAATTTCACCGTAAACCAGGACTCAAAGAGCAGAATCTACTGCAAACTCGATGATGGATCTCATAAGAAAGATTATGGGTGTGCAAAAAACTTATGGCTGATGAGCATTCCTCAGAGAAACGATTTGTCAAAGAGTCTGTTAGAGGTTAGAGTAGCGAAGATAAAGCACTGAATGAAATCATGCGATTGGTAGCTCGCAGACAAATTTGGAAACAGTACTACCGGGTAAATTAC